TGTTGTGGCACCAAAGATAATAAACCATTTTTATCATGCCATAAAAATACCTGTTTAAGTCACCTGTTCTGTTTTTTTCAGGCTCACTGCAGAATATTAAACACAAATGTTGATGGTGCATTAGCTTTACAAACATAGCAGTTTGTTTCATTGACTTTGAATATATAAATCAACATTTTCTATTCCCCAGAATGTCAGTGAACACTGATATTTTTCTGCCGTGTTTTGCCTGCTAAAGAGACATTTCCTTACTGAATTATTTAGTCACTATCTTTAACTTCAACAGCTAAAAAACCAACAGCACTTTGCAAAGTGGCAAATATTTCCCTTTCATATCGCAGCTTGCTGTGATGTTCAGCGACCTTTTCAGGCACAGCACTTGACTTGGTCCATGGAGAGACTGGGTATCGTACACTGCTGTGCTCACACGCGTCTGTACACAACTTCTTGAATGCTGAAAACTGCTGTGAGAACAAATTAAACGCGCCAACTTCGACATTAGTGTACAACTTCTTAAAACACATTTACACTTCCTACAGATTAATAACTTGTGTGCAACTCTTTCTCTCATCCATATTCTTTAATTCTCTTCACAATCTTGATCGTCCCTCCTGTCCATGAAGGTTTCTTTCACCCTGGGCTTAAACTACTTTATATTAGCAAAGTTGCTTTGAATATTCAAAACAATCTTTTGTCTCAAAAGGATTGCCTATGTTGTTGCCATGTTAGCTTAGCTTTAAGCTTCTAGCCCAGCAAGATTAGCCTCAGTTTAAGAGAGAGAAGTGATGATAAAATATTCCAGCTCTTCTCTGCCTGTTAGCGCTACTGATAATTCTGCACATGGGAAGGCTGTAGGTATCATGTGGTCTGGTCTACAGTCACTCCCGCCTGCAACAGTTCTTTGATGCCAGCCCTGTTGCCCCAGGGTTAAACAACACACTCCATTTTTAGGGAACTCCATTATCCACAATATGAGATTAGCATCAGCCAGAGTACAATATTTATCAAGGACCAGGGCTTCCAATATAGAGGCTAATCCGGAGGTATTGGTTTTGCCCAGGGAGAAACAGAAAACACAACAATTCAAGCTTTAGCAACATCCAAGTTGGTACAGAAAACGTGAAGATTGAGGTGTGTGAGGTCACAAAGGTTAGTCTATCTAGCACATTTAGTTTCTCCAGTATAATTGGTTTCAAACTTGATATCTCTAACCTGTGAGATCATGATGTTTCGTGTTTTTCTGTGTTTAACTGGCCTTCTTTCTTGAGAAGCCCTGACCTAATGATAATGGACCCCCTTCACCCTACTGAGAAGGGACCACTACTTTACCCAGGAACTTAGACAGGTGATTAGAAGAGTCTGACGTAATTAACATAAAGCAAATTCATTGGATTTATTCTGGTGCCTTTCATTATGAACAATCACTGAATCTCTTCTTACCACAGTGTACTTAAGCTCATTTTCAACACTTAAGATTGCTTCCCTTGGTTGACAGGATACAAAGAGCCTGTGCTCAGTCAGCATGAGTATCGCCATTTCATCCCACACCACGATGAAGCCCAGTGTCCCTTAAGGCTCTTCTTTAACAAATCCCATTCATTTAATATGCAGCAGCCAATAGCACAGGATTATATTCAGCAGGAGTGTTTGATATGGAAAAATGGAGGCATTACACCATGAAAAGAAACTTGGAGACGAGAAGCAGATAGTAGGCTGACAGATTAGGCAGAGGATTTAAGGGAGGTGAGGCTTTTCTAAAAGGTACAGTAGTGACAAGGATCCTGCTGAGGCTGAGGATCGTACAGGGGACGGATACAGTTAGATGGCAATTGACTGCTCTGTGTTGTATCACATTGGAGTTCAAGAGGCTATCAGAACATTATGCCAGCGAGAGTCATAACAATGACCAGAGATGTAATAAAAGACATTAAGTCAAGGAGACGGGGAGCAAAGGAGAGCGAAAAAAAAAAAAAAAAAAAAAAAAAAGCCAGGAAGGGCGAGACACAGAAAAAGAAGGATGGAGAAAATAAAGGATGGGATACACTTGGAGGGAGAGGCAGAAAAATCAATAGACTTCTATATGCAGCATGAGAATGTCTTGCTGCTCCAGACAGCCTATCCAAGGACTCCAACAGCCAACAGACAAACTGAACATCTATCCAGAGACCCATGCTATGCCAACCCAGCCTGTCCCTGTCTCCATTCATCTCCTTCTTTCCCGCCTCCATCCCTGAATACACACACACACACACACACACTTGAGGATGCTGGCTGTTCTCCTCCAAATGTAACACTCTAATTTGGGTGAGCGCTGGCTGCTGTGTTATTGATGTTGCCAGAGGTCTGATCTATCTGGAGCCCGGGACAAGGCTTTAGTCAAGATGCCTCTAACTCAGAGACATCCTGTTCCCTGTTTGCCAGAGTCTCAAACGGGCGCTGGTCATTAAAAGGCCGGACAGACAGCGCGCCGTACCGTTTCCGCCTGCCTTGCTTCGTCACCCTGCGCGGCTGGGTACCCAGTGCTCTGAGGCATTCGGTGTATTTCCACTCCTGTTGGGATTCTCTGCAGTTGAAGCTGCTATTGTAACTTGTTTGTGCTATTCAAACGTGTATAAAAACTGTCTTTAGGATTATACAATATGGAAATGAAGATATGAGTAATTAAAAAACAAATAAAATGAAATGTGTTTACTTTCTGAAAGCGTTCGCAGTGAAGGATTAAGACGTATACTCTGTGTCTTTGTGTGTGTGTATGATGGTGAAGCATGCGGGGTGGATTATCGAGGTTTACTCCTGAGCAAGTTTGGCATGCTGCTGCTTTTTCCCATACATTTAGTTTTATGTGTGTTCGTGCATACATCCAACCATCTGTGTGGGTTTAGCTGGAGGCCAGAGCGATGGGGAATTGGAAAGCTGGATGTGCTGTTATACACCGATGTCTTATCACTCTGATATATGGCCAAATAGGACACATAGGGGCTGAGACTGGCCTGATAACAAACAATGAATGAAGATTGGATGAAGTGTAAAGAAAGGGAGGAGGAAAGGACGGAAGGAAGGAAGGGAAAATGAGGAGGAACAACGTGCTCCCTGGAGGCCCATGGGACTGTGTAGAGTAGTGTGTGATCATTGATTAAAGAGGTTTATGTACTCCCAACTACAGCCTAGTAGAGGACACGCTCACCCCTCTCTCTTTCTCCCCCATCCTTCCTCCCCAGAGCTGTCTATCCTTCTGCCCTTTCCCTCCTCTCTCTCCATCTCTCCACTGTAATGGGGAGAGAACAATTGTTGTAATTTTCCTTGCACTATAACTGACAACTACAAAAGGTCATTCAGAGGGAGGAGTCTGCTTGTAGTCGCTCAGTCCATTCAAATGTCACGAAATACTGATAAACATTCTGTTTTCTTTTAATTTCCTTCTGCAGTAAACATATTACAATTCAGCAAGTGTCACTGGGCTCCAATTACAGTACATAAACCAAATTATTTCTTTCTGAAAGAAATCGGAATAATTCTCTATGTTTACGACATTGAAAGACGATTTTAGTGTCACAGTCGTGCTCCACAGTAAGCGTTGTTTACTTTTTATTGGTTAGTGGCTGTCATTTATACCAAAACCACAGTTTTATGAGAAGATGCCCCTCCTGGTTTTAATGAACGGAAGAAGGTAACATTTCTACCCAAAATGGGGCACTTTTGGTAGAAATTACAAATCAATGGAGGTAACCAAGTGGTGATTCTTCCCAGGAGAAGATCTTTGACACAAATGTGAACGCAGGTAACAGAAAAGGAGTACAGATTTAGAAAAAGTAATTGTGAGTCGTTTTTACAGTGAACATATCAAGCTAACTTCTATTCAACATATTGCAAATTGTTCATTTCCCTTTGACAGAAGCACATTCCTGTCTGAATGTTTAAGGTGTTAACATGGCTCATTACTAGGGGAACAAAAGGCTTCATGTAAGTGCAGCGACTGAATCCCTACTAGCTCTGACCACTCCATGTATTGTCTCATAAATAAACGTTTTACAAATGCACTTTGCTGTGCATGATCCGAGTCAGAAGTTTGTAAATGGATTTTCAAAAAACCTGAAAATACCAGATGCACTGAGCCGAAAATGAAAGAATGACATTAGTTTGGCAGAAACATAAAAGAAATATCCCACTAATTGAAGACTGATACATAAAACATAAGCAAACACATTTTGTTCGTTGATATTACAAACATAGCGTTTGTTATGTTCATTTACTCTGTGGTTTTCTGCCACAGCAGCAGGTCCATTAACTACCAAAAGAAATCAATGTGAGCACACTCAATCAAACAGCACAGACACGGCTTGTACTGTGAACAACAAGTTTGGAGTGCGAGAAGTTGAACCGACCGCGGAAAAAAAGAACAGAGTGAACACGGACAGACTGTAATAATGAGAAAGGAGAAGAGACGGCAGTCAATTACAAGTCCCATCTTGTAGTTTGTGTCTACATTGATTTGATGGCGACTAGGACCTCCGCCTCTCCCCAGTTCACCTAATTGCACCCGCTCTGACCCGCTAATTACTTCACTGGACCCAGTTGGTCTCACGTCAGTGGACTGCCTCTCTGTCTCGAGCCGTCTCTCTAAACCAACGTGGGAGGATGAGAGAAGAGAGAACAAGCCCGGATTAAGAATGCATGATGCGTGTCAGAGTGGGAGAGAGAGGGGACATGTAGAATGAAACAACAAGAGACAGCACACGGTACAAATAAGAGAGGTGTGTATATTTCAGGTGGTTTGCAGAGGCTGTGAACTCAGGTGGAGGATTATTATTGGAGTCAACACACTGATGTTACTGAACTGTATGTCCCCTCAGAACAGAGAGGACGTGAGGGATGATCCTGGCTCTCGCTGAGCTGCATACATAATTCAATAAATCGCTACTGATTAGATAATCACTCATAATCACGAGGATAATGGTGACAGTGAAGCACATTCATCAGGAACACTGGGGAAGCTCACTTACCTGATGGGACGAGTCCGAAGGCCCAGTTGGGTATGAGCATGCCGAAAGGGTTGTTTGTGTCTTTGTTGTCTTTCGTCGTTTTATGGTCCTCTGACTTTGGGGTTTTGAAAGGTGTCCACCGACTTCCCACCACGAAGGACTCAGACACGGCAGACCTGGATTCCATTTGTGTGGCGCCAACGTTAGAGTCAGATGCAAAAGTGGTCAACTGAACGACGCCCGTAGTCGTTTGAGATCCGTCGCCGGTTGCGGGAGTCGCTGAGAGGTTGGGTGTTGTTTTCTCCCGGTCTTCCTGAACCCATGAGATGGATATAGACGACTCCTCGGTGGTGGCGCTCTCTGAGGAGTTTTCTGTGGTGGTTGCTGTGGTGGTAGGGTCCGTCCTCTGCGTGTCTCTGGTTGTCAGAAGCTCCACTGTGGTCACTTCAGAGGTTGTCAGCACCTCCATACGAGCTTCAGGTGTAGATGTCACCACTTCCTTTCCGCTGGTTTCTTCGCTGTTCTTTGTAGATAAAGCAGTGAAACCTGGATTTGAACTGCTTTCTCCTCTTCGAGAAGGAGCAGAGGAGAGGTGGTCGGTGGGCCTGTGGACGTACAGGATCTCTCCCCTGGCCTCCTCTGCTGTGTCTGAAGGTGTGGTGGTGGGCTGTGGCACCAGCTGCCAGTAGGAGAGAGTAGTGTGTTCTGCCACAGTCACAGCCTCAGTCTGGCTGAGTGAAGTCTTGTTGGCTTTCAATCCAAACCCATCAGGAAAGTTGCTCCCCTCACCGCTCCCCTCCATCTCCTTCTCCTCCCCTGATGCCACTCTGGCAGCATTAACATCTTCTCCATCCTGGTCCTTCCCCTGACCAGAATAGTTTTCAGGGATGTCCCGTCGAAGGGAGGTGGGCAGGGTCATCACCTCGACTGGCCCACTCTTTGCTTCCATAGGCTCCCAGGTGGGGCGTTTGCCTAAAAACGGCGCCTTTCCAGGAGGACCTAGTTTAGGGGCACGCATGGATTTGATGGCCCACCGAAAGTGGTTGTTGGGGTCTGAAGAGAAAGCAGGGCCACCTCTGGGACCCTGAGGCCCGGATACCATGACATGTTCAGTGGGTGGTGATCCCTCGTTGGGACCTGTGGCAGTGAATCCTTAAGGGAACAAAGATACAGAATAGATTAATTAAAACAATTCCATTACGGGGGTGGAGAGCACGGGGGTGGGTTTAATTTTATGGATGTGGAATTGGCAATTAAAACTAAAGCCTGGCTTACATGAGCCCCATATTACACTTACAGGGAGATCAGTTTCCAAATAATTAGGTGGGAGCATTGTCTGGTGATGAGTTTCTGTCATGTGAGGGCTATGTCACTGATTTGTTTTTAAACTTATTTTCTATTTTTTTAGACTTTGTAGAAATTGTGTAGAAACTTGGACCACATCCATTGGGTTTGAGTCCCATCTGTTCATAGAGCTTACCGTGAAACAGACAAATAAAGTACTACAGAAAATTAAATGCTTTTCTTTACAACAGCATGTATTCTTGACTAAATAGGCAACAACTACAGTTTACGTTTGTCAAAACACAAGACATCATTGAGTGTTATTTATAGTCATCAACAACTGCTCCTTACTGCAGGGGCTGAACCTGATCCAGTCCAACATCTGATTCCTACAATATTTCCTGTAAAATGTGTCAATCACTTCTGTTATGATCAAATTAAGAACAAATGATACCAGATCAAACTAAATTGATAATAAATCCAAACAATAAAACATTCTTGCAGAAACCTTACTACATGGGAAACTCTACTCTCCAAATTGTCTTTTATATATTAATACAACATTAACCAATAGCAATTTTCTCTAACATGTGCTTTTTGAAGTATGTTGAAGATATACTGTACATATGCAAATAGAGTTAAACCAAATAAATGTTTATTTTCCTTTTATCCTTCCATTTTTTAAAGGCTCAAGACGAACTGCACTTTCCCGTGAACTGAAAGCAGCCATTATAATTCACTGTAAAGTAGATCTCTTAGGCTTCTTTCCTCACCAGTGGAGCGGATCAGTGCGGCTACAAAAGTTCCTGGAGTTTGTAGAGAAAGATGGGAGCCATCCCTCAAACACACTTGTGCACGCACACACACTGACACAAACGCATCAAAAGCTTGGAAGGATGTATTCAAAGTCATTTCACACTTCTGTTCTCTGTCCCTGTTTTCTTATTCCCTGTGGATTCTTTTACCCCAAACCGTCTCCTGCAGGAACACACTTGCCTGTGGTGAGAGAAGCCAAGTGGAAAAACGCAGGAGCACTGGCAACACGATAAGCAAATGACTTTTTCCAAAACAAGCTCCATCTCGACATGTTTATTTAGATGAAGTGGCCCACTGTACCTTATCAGCTTACGGCTTTAAACCAGACACTGTCTACACACCATCAATAATTCATTCAGTCTGCATGTGTGACTCACGGTTGGTTTTTTTCGGGCCACAGTGCGTTCATGTCACCGAGAGGCCCGGCTAGTGTTGCTAACATCATCATCACCGTTTGGCTGTCCTCAGTTCAGTTAATATGTCGGAAAAGTACAGCAATACTGAAGGGCGTGTGCTACACAACCCAGCACAACAAATTACCATGAGAGGGAGAACATACACAAATACGTCCATGCATGAAATATTAAAATGTGCGTCAATTATTCAAGAGGTCCGCTGTTGCCTTATGCCCGAGCGAGGCTTACGAGTCTGAGGTTCATTTCCATAAGAGACGTGTGGAGAGGCGTAATTGTTCTATTAATAATACAAATAGCTAATTACATACTTTTACTACACACACTGCTGAAAGTAAGGATAATTAAACACATTCATTTGGTTTGATCATTCATGTAATGACCCATGTTATAAATAAAATGAAACAATTAGGCAATGGTTTGGATGGTTCGAGCACAGTTAAAGTTCAGATCTGATTCTGTTAATCTGTTGGTGGAAAAGCTACAGCTTTAACTGAAATGCAGCAAAACAAACTTATGATAAACCCTGTTCAGATGGTAATTTTGTGCTTCCGCTTTGAGTGGTTCTGCTGTGTTGATTCCACTTTACTGGAGTAAACAGGCTGAGAAAAATCCCTCGGGTCAGGCAGACATGATATTACATTGAGAGGATTGAGGCTGACAATGAGAGAGACACACAGAGAGAGCTGCCACCAATGGCACCTCATCCCACCTGCACTTACTGTATGGCATCCAATAAAACAAACACTGAGCTGAAGGTATTGCATGGCCATGGGAATAATGTCAGGAGCAGTGTCAGTGCACAGAACTCCCAGTCTTCTCTCACATAAATGCAGTCTCTGCTATTGAAGAAACTGGTTTCATGACAGAAAGTCGACTCTTAAGAGCTTATTCAAATTCTACATGCGCTCTTCGGAGGCAGATCACTCCACTAGGAGACCTACAAAATAAAACCTAATTCAATAAAATGTTCAAAATGTTTTGATTTGCATGGAAGATGATTTAAGTCATCGCTCATGCAGAGCCCTTTTCAAAGTAATTTGATTCAACACTTAAATTCTAATCTCTCTTGGACGGGCTTGTCTGCAGTGCGAAGCTTTGCACCCCCCTCAATCAAAAGAGGCAACATGGCACCATCAGTTACTGAGGAGTGTTGAGATCCAAGGGATAGCCCGAGGTGTGCAATAACCGAGTTTATTCAGCTCACTGATGCTGGTTTAAGAAGAGACATCAGTTGGGTAGCTTTCCATCATGGCAACATTAAAGACAGAAAGACTTATCCTCGCCCCCCCCTTTCCTCCATCTTCCCCCCTCTCCCCTCTTCCTCATCCCCCTCCTGTGATGCTCGTCCTTGCTGTAGTGATCATTACCGCCTACCTTCAGAGAGCCGGGGCCTAATTGGCAGAGACAAAGATGGAGGTGAGAGGGAACGGCGGTGCAGCCCAACCTCCACGTTAATTGGATACGCCTGTGAATAATGCATGTGGAATAAAGCTTGGATTTTCATTTATACCAAGGAGGTTAGTGTTGGATTTCAGGTAGCACAGCAGCATTTATATTAATAAAGCCTGCAATTGGTGAGAAGAGCCTATCACCTTTATTAAATCATTTTGTGGGAGATACTTGTTTTAAGCCTTCCCTATATCTGATGTTTTATTCATTTAAAGAAAAGCTTCCTTCTTTCAACGTGTTGGTAAACTTTATTTGGCTTCTGTTTGGTACATTTCTCCACTTTCAGCCCTAGGATTAGTTTGTCTGTGTTAAGGGCTCCAAAGCGTGACCATTTTGGTGAAGTGCAACAAAAAGACGTTGTTAGATGCACCATTGTGAGTCAAATGTATTGTCTGTTATTGTTTGTGTACATGTGCGTCATTATCCTTTTTTTTCTCCACCTGCATTCTGCGGACATCCACCTCTACTCTGCAGCTGATTGGATCTGGGCCCTGTGCTCCTCTCCTCAATGCAAAGAACCGCTTGACCAATTTCTGTGGCTCAGATACTATGATATTATGCATTGCTTTCATAGCAAGGAGTGCAATCCAAGGCATGGCTGGGATACATTTCGGAGCATCACCATTCCAAAATGAAATGTTAGAAAGCACTATGTCTAAAAAAGTAAGTCCTTGAGCCATTCCTCTAATCTTTAGTCGGACTTTACCCCTGCAGTTACACATTTAAAGAAGTGATCTTGGGTTTGGTGCAAGGCTGGATTCAAGAAGACATGAGAGGTGACCTGGTGACCTTTTCCTTCTTTGGGTGTGTTGCACTGCACTATTCCTGAGGCTAATTCACTCCACTGTAGATGTTTCATAGGGGCTTTCAGGCTCTTCTGCCCACACACATGGAGCAAAAACACAAACAATGAACCCCTTCACTTGTCAGGCGTTCTCCTAGTCCCCAGACCGTTTCTCTCTTTATGTCTGAACACAGACTTCTTAAACTTCCATCCATGTCTATTAACATTGCTTTGTTTAATACATTCTCCACACCTAATACCAATCAATTCTTAAGGAAATAAATAAGCTGTAATTTGTGATGCAGGTCTGCTATTCTGAACATACATTACATATGTGAGCAAACCTTTTATTGCAAATTACATTAATTCAAGTTTAGCATGTCCTCGCTATCACAGCCTGTACTATAAAGAAAGCACTCGATAAACATGAGAATAAGTGAAGAACGGTCTCCACTCCAACAATTTGAATTGCATGTGGTATGATGTGGTATGCCCCTTTTGTTTGTTTGCAATTACTGTTTGATCAAATCTACAGCGGTACTTCAAATTGCCCTGCGGAGGAATACATTATAGCATACTCCAGGGAAAAGAAGAGAGGGTGGAATAGAGAGTATGATACTGTTTAAAAACCACAACATAAACAGATCCTACATTCACCATCGACGTATTAATGCACCAGGCTTCTAATTGATATAAAACAGCTTACATTTACCCTCATTTATAATTCAATTTCATACTCAGTTATGAGTTCAAAAGGTTGAAAGGTGAAACAACAAACACACACAGATAAAATCCATTTTTCATACCGTTACTGCTGCTGGATGGAGGGCTGTTAGAAGACGTGCTGGAGGTTTTTTCTCCGGGCTGGGTAGTGTTGTCATCTTTTTGGACTGCAGGCACTAATGGAACCAGTGGCATCACCTCTTTCTCCTGCTCAGACAGACCTTCCTCTGGAGCCTGTAGTCCACTGGTGGGAGGCCTGGAGGATAAACTCCTGTCCTCCAGAATAGCATTGTCCATGCTGCCCTTGTTTCCACTTGGTCTCGGTCTACTCGGGTTGCTACTGGATGCTTCCCCCTGTGTCTGGTTCTCCCCTTGTTTTTCTTTAAGCACTGAAAGTCTCTTTTCCTCCACCTCCTTACCTGCTGTCAAATACCTAAAGGGCCTTACCAGAGTGTTCATAAACTCAGCCAACACACTGTTACTAGTCTGTGACTGGGGAGTGGACGAAGCTATGGAGGATAACGTTGGGGTGTCAGATGAACCATAATAGCCACCATCTTCTTCTTCATGAGCAGACCCCCCATGGTTCTCCTGGTCTGGAAGGCTCATGGTGCTGCTGCTCTTTGGGCCTTCAGACTCTTCCTGGCTCAGTTGACTCGCCTGTTTTTCATCCCAAACCTCCTCCGGTCTTAAATGGATGACTACGTGCTCTTCAGAGATCTCAGAGGAGTCGTTGTTCCCAGCAATGGAGCTGACTCCTGCGCTGTCCAAGTCAACCAGGCCAGTCCAGGTGGAGGTTTTGGATAAAGAAGCACTACGCTGGGCTTCAGTGACTGGAGAGATGGGCTCTGCTGCTGGGTCGGGTCCCTGGTACAAAGCCTGCGCCTCCACAGCCTGGACCCCCTCTGTGTGGTGGGCTGCAACACACAACAGTGGTAGTTATTCACCTGATGTACTGTATCTGCTCATCTTTACCTCTCACCTCCCTGGCATTGCTTCTCAAACAATATTAAATTCAGAGCATGCTGTACGACGTTCGGCTGATAAAGTTGTACCACATGTGGCTCCGTTTTTTCTTCCATAAAATCCAAACATTTTCAAATGAACAAACATGCATATATTGTGTTCAAAAGATTGTATCGACAATATTATTTGCATGAGCCATATTGATGCTATTAAGCAAAACATATTACCATTTTTATCTACTTTCAGCTTTCTGAAAGACAATTAGTTTTAAATATTAATGTAAATGTGCATAAAGCTTTGGTGCAATGTAGAGGTTCATCGATCAACGTTTTGTTTGGACAAATGCACTGTGGCTCCGCTCTCATGCTGTTATTGTGTATTTAAAATGATTGGGTTATGCAGATGTTTTTGTTCAGTGAAAATGTCATAAGCTGAATTTGTGAGAGATGGAATTGCCACCTTTATTTTCCTGTCTGTGAAAATACAAATGTCAAATATTAACTCTGTAATTTGCTTCAATCAATAGAAGCCAGAAAAGCAAAATCAAGCAAAATCACAGGCGTGATCATCTTCAAAATACCAGGAAGCCACATACTGATGCTTGGGCAGTTCAATGGGTTGGAGACCGCATTGGAGATACATGAAAGCCCATTTGCTCTCATACAGATGCTAACAGATGCTAACAGATGCCCTATTTGTCTGCTTAACTAACTCCAATACTAACCCATCTGTTTCTTCAACAGAGCCAAATCTGTAGTACTAAGAGCGCAGACTCTGCTCAGGATGGGAGGGGTCAGGTTGGTGTTAAAATAGTCTTTCAGGACTTTCTCCCCAGGAGAAACCATCAGTGTCCAGGGCCAACCAGAGTGACCTCAATATGTCATGTGACGCTACGAAACTTTTTCTAAAACTAACCAAGGTTTGTTTTTTGCCTACATTAACTAATCGCAAACATTCTATGTCAACGCAAAAGCCTGCCGCCCCGGAGGAACGATATCACTGTGGAAGAATGCTATAAATAAACAACAACAGTGAACAGAATGAGCCGTGAAGTCGATCCAAGGAGAGGATGAAACTAACTTAGTTCATTCTCAGTTGGCACATGATAAAAGACAAGGTCAGGCACAGAGTCACTGCAAACCCCTGTTGGACTCGTTCACATTCCTGCACTTTGTATCTCTCTCTTCCTCTCTGTCCTCTTTCTGTTGGTTTCCCCCTCTCTCAGGCTTCACTAAACACAACATACAGTACACGCCTTCAAATCCATCAGGGGGGGCTCCAAATGTCAGACAATCTCTTTGCAAGTACTTCATGTGTGACACAAACATGTCGTGCTAATTAAAAACCAGAATGGAAAGCAGGTCCCCAGACCCCTCTGTCGTTGCCATGGCAATTACCACAATGATGGTGCATCATCAATTTTATCAACACAGATTGCAGCGTTACCTCGGTAGCAGTAGGCGTCGTACAGAGCCGTGGTGTCAGGGAAGCCAGTGCGGTCGGGCTTGTTGTAGACGGTCCGCACGCCGGGCTCGTCTCCGCCGCAGTTCTTCCGCGGGACGTTGATGGGGTAGCGGGCGCTGCCGTCAGCGAGCCAGCCGGGGTCACACTGGTCCAGACCGGCCTGCCAGGAGAGGTACAGCTGACCCACGGTGGCCAGCTGGGCTCCCAGGGTGTGGCAGTGGGTGGAGGCTGTGGCCAGACTCAACTTCTCCGTCACAGTGGAGTGGAAGACTTCACCTGGGAGGAGAAGAAGGAGAAGAGAGAAATGTGTTAGTGTGAGACTGGAGGCATTTCAGCCCTCAGACTAACATCCAGTTTTAGTTTTGTGGTTTGTTTAGTTGTAAAACACTATGTAACAACATTCAAGTCTCTAGCTTTTTATATTATGTGTGTGCGCATGATTCAAAGTGTCTTCATAAGTTCCATCCATTTACTTTTCCTCCTTATACAACTTTTCCAATGTAATAAGAGTTGGGAACTTGATGTGCTGAGATAAAAATTGCATTTGCTCAGCATAAGAATGCACTATTGTTCGGGTAAAAATAATTTTAAAAAACCATCAGTTTTTCAATGAATAGACTATATAAAGAGAGTTCTTTGAATTCAAAGCAGTTGCAAAGAAGCATCTAAGAGAAAGGCAAGTAGACTGAAGGAGCAGAAGAAAGAAGAAGCTTAAGGGAAGGGTGGGGTTTGATGTGGATAAAATAGAGATGCAAAAATAAGGCCTGAAAGAGAGAACTCGAGAGGACCACGATGTCTGTGCAGCACACATTCAATTATATGATCAGAAGATCCACTGGCAGCTTGTGTTGAAAAATATATGAGCTGGAGGAGTGGACAGTGGGAATGAGGAGCGGAGAACTGATGAAGCTCGACGTGAGGATCCAGGAGATTTATGCCAAGAGTTAAAAGAAATGTGCGGCTGATGTGTTGAACTGAGATGGGGAGGTAAAGGGTGAAGAAGCGAACAACATGAAAGAGGCAGAAGCATATTATCTGAGAAGAGATGTTTGAGGAGGAAGGCTAGAAGATGACGGAGATATTTATTGGAAGGAGAAAAGTTGCTAATTTATACTCGGTCAACGGCCAGTCATGCATTTGGTTTACATCTATTTAATTGTTATCCCCACATATTTTATCCTTATTAGACATTTGTTTAAAATTGTCATATTTAACGTATTAATTTGTTTGTTATGGCAGATAATTCAGTTACATTTATTTGTGTGCATACTGTATTACTAAAACCCTCTTTTACTACATTAAAAGTCATCTCCTACAGAAAACCAAACCATGCTGAAATATAATGGGATGTAGAGATATGTAAAGTCTGCTGTAAATGGTGTGTATAGGAAAACAGAGCTTTTAAATTAAACTTCTAGTGTTGTTTTCTTTTTACAGAATAAGAGAGAAAACACCTGCTATGTATCATCTCGTAATTTGAGTTTGATTAAAGACAATTACGCGCTGATCGTTTCAATCAGGTTGTTTATCTCACTGAATTAAATTGTGAACTGCTGGATACAAAGTCAACAGGGGGTCATGCAATCTTCTTTGCTCAACATCTCAGTCACATACAGAACATTCATATCTAAAAATGTACCTCTTGAACCCCTAATAACAGTCCTGCTTTTACCACTTCATAAACACATGACACAGATAGACTGGTCCCTGCAGTGTGAGTTATTGGAGTTAAAAAGAACCTGCTGTACTTATGATTGTTCTTTTAAATATTGCAAATATGACAAATCATGTATTTCAGCCCCTCCACTGTTTTTATAAAAGAATATGTATATCTGAAGAGGAGCGAAAGCCAACCAGAAACTTCAGTTGCCTAATAGAATAACCCTAACGGATACATAGCTGAGTGAATGGGACAATACATGGAAAACACAGTCCTTATGTGGACAGTGATTACATTAAATATACATTGTCATCCTCCTTAACCAAAAGCGGGTTTCAATACATAACAAATCAAAATTGTTTAGATTTTGAACATTAAAGGTAGGGTAGGTAAGTTTGAGAAACCGGCTTGAGATACACTTTTTGTTATATTCCATGGAATGCTCTTAACATCCCGATAGCAATGAATATCTTAAGTGCTTTGACAAAATATCCATAAAAAAATGTCATCTGTGGAAGCCGTAGTACTGTAAAAAGTACGACCAGTCATTTTAGCCGGCCCGGCTAAAATAACTGGATGGCCTACCTGCCTGTCAGCCTTCCATCTGTGCACAAACTTATCTCGTGCCCTCATTGGTCATGTGCGCGTTCGTGTGTGTTGGAGGAGGGGCTCTATAAGGAAGTGGCAGATTTTCTCCGGTTGTGTATTTCAAATTCTAGCGATCTCGAGCCGGTTTCTCAAATGTACCTACCCCACCTTTAATAGATCTGATTTTCATAATGGCTGTGCTCACCACGGATTTATAGAGAACTGGATACAGCGTTCGAGGAGGGGGGCCAACAGACTTAGGCTAAAGCTACATGTGAAAGGTAAACCAGTTGGTGATCCATGATGTAGGACACGTGGAAATGAAGGACCAGCACTGTTCCTGATGTAAGAAAATATGCCACCCCTTTACCAATTAGCATACGAGCTAACCTTTGCGTCTTACTTTAAAACAACTGCCTTTGGTGCTGCAAAAGTAAAGTTTAAAGGTCACCTATTATGCAAAATCCACTTGTTCATGTCTTTTATACATCAACATGTGTCCCCTCTTTGTAAAGAGATTCTGAAAGTTTTAGGAAAAAAGATTAGCTCACTTTCTGTCCTGATCCATTTATATAAAAACCTGTCTGAAAATGAGCTGATCAGATGTTGGCCACTTTATGATGTCATAACGATTTTTTGGCTTGTGTAACCATTAGCCAATCACCAACCAAGGTACCCCCCCACCCCCTTATCACCTGAATCTCCTCCTAGAGCACCATTGTGTTCTTTTTAACCAAATATCTCTCAGAGGGGCGTGGGGAGTGGCTCCTTATTTTCATCTAAATTAACAGACAGAGAATCAGCACTTTTGAAACGGGGCTGAAACAGAGGGGATTATGGGATGCTGCAATGCATGATCTGTTTGGTATTTTGAGCAAAGCTTCATAGACAGGTTTTTTATATATCTGAGACCTATAATATATGCCTAAAAAAAGTATAATAGGGGACCTTTAAGGATAACACAACTGACACACTCGTTGCATGTTTTGCCTAAATAAGGTTGTAACATGTTTTCTGGATTCAGTGTTGTCTCTGTCTTACACAAACTCTTCTCTCACGCTGCCCTTTCTCTTCTCTGTGCTAACACAGTTGTGAGTCCTGGTCGCAGCGCTCTCCTGCTTTGTGCACTCCTGCATGACTAAACCCACATTTATGGATGAAGCTCCTGACCCCTACCGTGAAGCTGCTTAGCAAAGCAGTAGACATCAAACAGCTCATCGGGTGACCTATCACCGTAGTTACGGACTCCAGGTGAGTCCTCGCGATCGCCATAGCAACCGGGCCGTGGCGACTGGATGGGATACCTGCAGAGAAATCCAAGTGACGGGGACAGAGAGAGAGAGAGAGAATAATTTAGCTTGGCAAAGAAAGAGCAGCCACACACAAACTTGTCTCCCTGGGGACGAGTCTGTGTTCACACGCATACACAATAAGATAAAAACTGAACGGCACTTTCATCATCTCCTGCTCTAAATACAATGGGTTTAAGTATATCTTCCTCACAGAGATTACCAAAATATTTTACCCCTAAGAAAGAAAAGGAAAAATTTAATATCCTCCTGAAACTGGATGTAATGCCAGAGTGAGTTATACAGTAACATTCATTACTTGTCACAACAACCGCAGGACAACAATTGGAAAGCAATTCAATATATACAGTATCCTGCTTCCTTTAATTATTCTGCCTGCAGTGTGGGTTTCACAGGAAAATTACCCTACCATTTGACTTAAAATCGTTTTGAAATGTGTTTAATACTCTGGCAATTTCAGAATTCCAGTAACGCTACAGATAGAGAGAGAGGGAAAGGTAGGTAGAAGCTGGAAGTCAAGGAGAGGTTAAAATAATCCACCTTCAGTGGCTTGTGGGGCTGAGAAAACAGCGATCTATATTCAGGCTCCAACTGAGCAATTATTCCACAAGAACATTGATTCCGGCAGCACCAGGGCACAGGGAAAGAGGCTGATTAAAAGATTACACCGGGCATACAGGGTCTTATGAAGTATAAGGAACAGACATATACACAGATGCACAAACACACACACACATCGATAACACACACATGCCTGCACATAACCATAAAGCGACCTGTTTTCAGTAAAAACAAAAGAACTAAGTCTTGTAGTTTCTCGGGCCTCAGCCTCTTTCTTTCTGCTTGGTGGCTGATGAAGCGATGCCTGATGTCTGTATTTTCTCCACCGTATTAATTGGACACTTCCCTTTTGGCTGATGTGCAGTCAGAGCCTCCTGGATTTGGACCAATTAGATGACTCCCGAGTGAAAACAATGGGAGCGTAGGACGGAACGAGAGAAAGAAAGAAGGAAGCTGTGCCGCAGGAAGGTTGTGAAAAAAGTGTCAGGAAGACAACAGTCAATCTGCCTGGCGACTGGAGCAACAGAAATTAAAATGTAGAAGTGGAGAGCAGCTCTGACTGATGATGGTGAGGGACTTTACGGACACTGGCAGGCTGAGGCACACGCAGACGCCTGACTGACAGCTCAGAGGGGGCAGATGTAGTTAACTGCATTTACAGTGTGCAAACAAGCAATTAGAGCCAATTATTTTGCACAGCTTTGTGTTTATAGAAAAAGATCAAAATGGCATGCATGCTTTGTTCTCTGTTTTGAGACATATCTTGAGCAGCAGAGTGAATTTATTTTTGTTACAATGTTTGATCATGTGGCGAATTATCCAAAAATATAAGGCTGAAATGGAGATTTTAAAATAGCAGCCTGGTCGAATAAACAAGAGCTGCCAGCAAACCTTGTTACTTTGAGCCTAAGACGGCTAATTGCTATGTCGAGCAGGGTATTCAGATGCAGCTGCATTGTAAGTGATTATCAGGGACTATAGACGTTGGGTTCTGCCCACGGATCGCATCATTTGTTGTTGGCACTAAAGAAAGAAAGGAGTCATTTCACAGCATTTTGAAATTGTAGAGGCCAACATTTCTTCCGGACTTAAAATTGTTTTCAATGACGGCAGTATAGAGACACTGATCTGCATTGCAGTTGTAACCATAGTGACAGTAAAGTTTGTCCTCTCAGTTATTCCAACAAAATGAAGCTTTTAGACCTGACACTGTAGAGGAATGCAAAGTCAGTATATATATTATATTTATTTCCAGTTTTTATACTTTTTTCTCATTTTTCTCATTTTCTTATAACTTAATATTTCATCATTGCGTTTAAGAAGAAAAATACGAACCTTTATTCATCCCCAGTGGTTCACTCAGATGTTATTACACTAAGTACAATACACACACACACACACACAATACAGAACCTATACACAGTAGGTTTAAAAACATTGTTGTCTGGCGTGGCGACCCTTCGTTTCCAAGCTTCTCAAGGTTCCCTACAGACTGCGCCACTGCACCACCAATATGTAAGCACTATATATATTAAAGCAAATTCCTTGTACGTGTCAACTAACATGGCAAATACATCTGATTCTGATTCTGAACTCACCGCACAGTCTGGTCAGACAGCCAGCCTGCATCACAGTTGTCGTATCCGTCAGCAAAGGTAGCCTGCAGCTGGCCTGGTGTTGCGATGACTGCCGAGTTCTCCACGCACACTCTCTTGGCGTCAGCAAAGGACAGGGCGTAGCGGTCATGAGGGGCCCGGTAGTGAAATACAACACCTGTAACAAAGAGATACACAATGTGATAACAAGTAGGGAGGATGCTCCAGAAAAGTATTTGCGAGAATTTATGACCTGCAACCTCTGGGTCCCCGTAATATTTATGAACTACAACCTTGAAGCACTAAAACATGGCGATTGACACGCTCACATGGAGCCTTCCAGACATACACATCATGTACTGACAATGTTCCCTCTCTGTGTAGGAGGAAAAGAAGCATTCAAGGTTCAGCAACCTGTGTACGGGAGTCTCATTTGCATCTGACAGTCGGTCGGCTTATCATTAGAGAAAAGAGATGTTGCCCTTGGATACTGCGTATGAAAAACAGTGCTGATGTTTATTTTTCTGCTTTAATAGCACACACACAATGTCACCCTTCTGCCAGCAAAGCCAGCCACCGCACTCATGATGGGAAGACAAAGAAGGCAAAGATAGAAACAGAGAAACGCTGCATTCAATGACATGTATGTAGTGGATTCATCGCATATTGAACCACAGAGACATTATAAGAAGGTGAGAGGGAGACAGGAATACAAATAAGTGAGGGGAAAAGAAAATCAACTGGGAACAAAGTGAGATACGATTCCTTTAGCTGTGAAAGGGTCATATATTCCACTTAAATGGGAAGGGAATAGCTTTAGAAGTGTCCATCTAACGTTCCCTCACCTCCCACCTTTGCCTGTCATTCACACAGCTGTTCCCCCGAGGAACATCCAGTGACTTGAAAGCCAGAGGCCGTCTGGCTGCTAACACGGATCCTTTATCTTGGCTGGCTTTGTATGGGAGAGTGACAGAGATTCCTGCGAGATGGAGGCCTGCATGGCAATTTGAGCATTAGCACTCCAGGCTTTGGCCGTAAGAAAAGCAAGCAGGGCCATGTGTGTTTGTGACACACACAGCAGAAGACAGTTTCCTCAACGCCAAGAGTCTATCTAGCCATTGTGTTGTCTTGGTCTTATTCTTCTCTTCACAAAAATGTGGAGCATAAATCCTGTGTTTTTTTCCTCGGTTTCTTTTCTCATTTTCCATCCTTTCTCCTTGGAGGCTGCGTCCAAACAGAGATGCTAACTCGCTGGCTAATACGTACACAAGAGATAGACAAATTGGTTTGCTGTCGGCTAGGAAAAACCCAGACCTATTCCACATGAGGGTTGAATGCCCAATACTTCATGCCTCTATTTTTACCCTCTGCATTTTTACACATCCCCACACAGTCTCCAGAGAACAGGAAGGCACTACTTGTGGGTTGGCCCTGTGCTTTATGACTGCATGTTGCCCCATATTATAGCACCGTTGAACAGGTGTCCCTCGGTATATTATTTAGAACACTACACTGCATTATACAGCACAGCAATTACTTTGTTTGAATTCAAAATGTAATTCGAATAATTCTCACGTTTTGTGTGTGAAAGTAGCTAATTATTAACTTTAATGATACTATAGTATTTCTCAATTATTCAAAAGCAGATGAACCTGTTTTTGGACAGATTTGTAGTAACGTTGCCAAAACTCTGATAATGCGGCAGTGTTAGGACATCTGCTGTCAACTATTATGATGCATAGTTTCCTAAAACATGGTCTAACATTAAAGAGCCTACAAAAGGTAACATAAACACTAAGGGCAGACTTAAAATCGGTTCATATTTAAATCTGCATACACAGAGTATGATACGATTTTGTTTAAGTTGTGGTACTAATTACAGGTTTCTCTAAAGTATTAACAACAGTATGAATAGTCACACATGGTTAGGGATCTACACATGTGTATGCAAACTATAGACTGAATATACTGTATTCATGACATGAATGTCTCTGAAACAGTTTAGGTTTCAAAGATATACATTGCTATCTGATGAGGAAGTTGTTCAAACAATTAGAATATGCTTTGCACCATGCCCAGTGCTCATATTCTATCTATTGTCCTCACAGCAGGTAAAAGTGGGCATCCATATCCCACCTAAAACAACGGCTAACGCTATCAATAGCATTACTTTCTAATTGGTCGGGACACAGCCAATTGACCAGTCAATATGTGCCAAGAGAAAGAAAGAAAATGGAGACTAAACAAGGAATGAGTAAGAGCGAGGCAGCAGGGGAGAAATTAAGAAAAAAGATGGCAAGAGAGGAAGGACATCTCATCGAGGCTTAGGCAGGCACGCACAAATTACTCTGAGAAGAGCACTGTGGATTAATATGATATTGATATAGCTGAGCAGCATCAATACCTGCTAATTAATACGTTAAGCACTCAGTAGAATTAGAGTGAGGACGGCTGTGGTCTGCCATGTAGCGTGACTGCCAATTAAGACTAAGCCCTGGAGATGGCTACTCCTCGCCAGCTATGTAATTGGTTTCTCTCTGAAGGAGTGGTTTTCATACGGTGTTAATCGATTGGCTAAGATGGGGAGGATGCACTGGTCTCCCATGCATTGTGACCGGGGTCTTGCCCACTAAATGCAGACTGCTCCTATGGAGAAAGATGAAGTACTCTGCTAGCTTGCAAAAACAGGACAGCATCCTTGTTAATTATAAAGACATTGTGGCCTGTACACACACACACACACACACAGACATTCCCATACACATAAACATGTTTGCATATATTGGATATATAGTGGAAACTATCCTTGTTACTCTCAAAGACGGTAACAGAAAAGGGCTACTTGGCCTATGAGCAGATGTTAGCAACACTAGCATGGGTTTGAAGATGAGGAAGAAAAGTGCACCGTGGATAATGCATCGTGTGATTCCCTGTGGTCATTATGCTAAAAGATTATTATTAAAAATAGTGACCTGGAAAGAATCTGACGAAAGCTCAGCAGCTAATATACCCAGAAAAAAGTAATTATTGTTCTCCTCCAGTGAGCTACCGCGTGCCAGTCTGGTAATTCCACAAACGCCTGTGTCCTGGATACAGATATTACTGTGAATGGTCTATTTAGTTAAGACCAGCGAGAGTCATTCAGAGCGGTCAGAGTAACACTATTTCACAATAGCATACACTGCTGGGTTCCTAGCATTTGGCTTTCAGTGCATGAACAGCACCTGAGTGGCCAAGGTCAATGATGTTTAATGTGTTCGAGTTCCCTCACCTCTCCACATCATCATACATTGTATGCTGACAGTACACAACCCTGGGTGTAATGGCTGTATTAGCCTGACACGAAAAACAGGGTCATTATTATTCATAGTGGTAGACATTGAGAGCTATGGGGGGGCTGTGCTCCGCCAAAGAGAGGAGCGTTGATTTGAGACAATTATTCGTGTGGGTGAAAACATGGACAAAACTAAGAGGGACATAAACTCTGATAATGACTGTGTATATAACCACTCATCACTTGATGATACTATAACATTTGCAGAGAAATGATACTGAATCACAGAAATAATGAGGATTGTAAGGTAATTAGCAGATTCTTGCTTGCTTGCTCTTTCCCTCTAGTTATTCAAATAACAGTTTAGTGGTGAGACTGTCCAGTGTAGATTTAACAGAAAAACACATTATAATATGTTGAAACAAGACCAGCTATGGGTGCCTACTTGCTAAGTAATGATAGAAAGCTGATTACACTTTCATTAACCCAGAAACCATCGGCTCAAATGTTAAAGACTGGACTAGTGATAGCTTTCTCCCCATAGGAATATTTAACATTCTCTCTATTAAAAGGCACATTAAGTCTCCTAAATGTACTTCAAACTTGTAGCTGGGGTTTAATTTTAACAATATAATATATAGTCATGGTTATGCTGGTTTATTTGCAATGCACCTCTCTCCTTTCAGTAAAGTTTAAACCTTTAAATGATTTGGTATTTGGTAATTACCACAAGAGTTATTGAGCGCTGCAAATGTAACGCTTTATAACCTGTAGACGGATTTAATAGTTGTTTTGGCTTCTCTGATTCATGTAGCTAAAGAACACCTGCTGGGAAGTTAGCAAGAGTACTAGCTTGGAGCTAGGGCCCTTGACTACTTATTGCATGTTTCATGAGTTATCCAGGTCCTTGAGGTAGATTTGATATCATAACATTAGGTAGATATCCTGAAGTTTGTTAAATGTGACAAGCTTACAGCTAGGTTTTCTCTATCTTGACATAAACCACTCCATGTGTGACTTCCATTTAAAGCGGCTTCCTTTATCAGAAAGAAAATGTATTTACCTGTGACCTCCAGGGGAACTGTGTCCTGCTCATCGTTGATGCCCACCACGACCTCACAGCGGTACAGGCCCGAGTCGCTGGAGCGCAGCCCTGACAGAACAAGACTGGCATTGTAGCGGTTCTTATTGTAACCAGGCAACATCACACGACCCTGAAAGGCCTTCTTCACCTGCAGGGAGAGAGAGAGGGGAGTAAGAATGAGACCACTTCACACCAAATATTTCCCACATGCCCGCCTTGAGTGTTTACTTTACCTTGACCACATTGTCTTTAGCCACCAGGACCGACTGCTCCTTCTGCAGGCCGTCGGAGCCTCTCTGGCCCCAGACCTTGGTCCACTTGATCCGGGGGGGCTCATGGGATGAACTGGTCCCGGGGCGCAGGGTGAAGAGGCAGGGGAGGAGAACAGTTTTGGACATCTCCTCGCTAATGGTCTGATGGGTCACCTTCCGCATATTCACCATGGTGTCTGCGTCGGTTACGCCTGACAAGAGAAAAAACAGAAGAGTCAATCAATGCCGTCTTGTAAATTAAGCCACTTGACGTTGCTTCTCATTACACCGAGAAGTCGTGAGTTAATTGCTTTTTGTTGGAGAAAACATGCTCTCCTTCAAGGTTCCTTTGTTCTATCCGATCCTCCTGGTTGTGGAGTAAAGGGGACAGAACAGAGGCTCACTGCATGGCGCTCTGCTTATCGGACATTGATCCAACAAACCATTACTGGGCTACCTGAACAGTGGGAGGCAGGGCAGGACCGTGGAGGAGGATATCAAAAGTCCTTTCATAAGCCATATATCAAACCTGGATGTGCATTATGAGATGGATCAATACCAACCCCTTGTTTGCAGCTCAAAGCACCACCACCACCACCATAAAGATATAAATATGACTTTCATCAAAACAACTGATGACAGAGAGAAACGTCGTCATTATAAATACATTCAGAGTGCGGTTTTCGTTTAGAAAAGCTCTGGTATCAGACGTTTCTTTCAGTAAAATATTCCACTGCATTTTCCTTTGTTGTCATTTCTTCCAATTTACACTGACGGATTCACATTATACATTATCATCATCACCTACCCTAATCCTGTGTCACCTTGGCTGAAAAGACAGCGGTGGCTCATTTGCATTAGAGAGAGGGGGGGGGGGGGTAGTGAATTTCCCTCAGTAAAAACAGTGATACAGGTTATCATCTCTGAGCTCGATCTGCTTCAGTGTGCACAGTATGTGAATGAGGTTTACCTGTAAAGCCTGAATCTGATGCTTCTCCAACGCCCTTATCAGTTACTATACCCTTTCTAGTCACTACTGAAAATGCCGGCCAAAAATGTCACTACTTTAAATCAAATATGCCTCAAAGCCCAGCATCAATGCATGGGTCTTCAAACAGCTCACCGCTTTTGAGCCACTTCAGCATTGTGCGATAGCAGCGACTTTCTGTCAGTTAGTGCAAGATTTTGGTCCAGGTTGATATATTTCAGTAACTGTTAGACAGACTACCAGGCAATTTAGTCCAGACACTCTCCAGAGGATGAATCCTACTGACTCTGGCTAGCCCCTGACCGTTTTCTCTTGTGCAAACATTAGGATGACATTTGTGGTTTTGAGTGAAGCAAGACGGGATGAATAGAAGAGGGAAAAGAATGAAAGGGTATAAAGAAGCTCTCCCCAGGTGGGCGGCCCAGTTAAAAGGTGGAGGAAATGTGCCGATTGATTTATTTTCAATTGTGCCAGTTCCCACTGCACAATTTGTGTGTGTGTCCTGCTCGCTTACTGTGTGTTTGAATGCATGTTAAAACGCTACAGGGACCACTCCTCATGTCTGTAATTAAATGGCAATATGTTTCAAGCGGTCAAATACACACTGCAGAATGAGTCACTCAACCTTTCTGTCCTTCATTCATTCATTGCCCCCCCCCCCCTTTCTCTTTCTCCCCTTCCTCCCCTGCAGTACGACCACCTGCCAGCTTTCAGATGAGCATTTCAGTTCTTCATTTATTTTTCATCTGGAAAAAGTGTTTTTATGGTTTATCTTCAGCCTATAGATAAAGCTGCGTTTTTCTTTCAGGATAAGATCTTCCCCTCAGCCATGCATAGAGAAATTCACTTCATGGTTCAGATCAACTTCAAATCATTACCTCATCTGTGATTGCCCATTTTGCCAATGTGTGTGTGGAGTGTGTGTGCACTGGAAAGCTTTTAAATGCAAACAAAATAAAATATATCTTCTGCTAGACCAATGAACGCACATCCTCACACAAAGGCACACAAACGTACATAAGCACAAATACACATCTTTGAAAGCCTCATGTTGTATCCCTAGCTGTATGGTTAACGTGACTTTGAGCACACACAAATGGCAGACGTATGGATTGCTGTCATTGCTCCTGCAGCTGCTATGCCGTTACAGTTGTTAAAGCTAAGGGTTTGAGTGCCTCTACACTGATAGCTTAACATCAGCCCTCCCATCCTATCTTCTCCTCCCAACAGACGCATGGACACACACAAATACCCACACTTCTTCCCCTTGCCCCAGTATCATCATCTTAGACAAGCGCTACTTGTCTAACTCCCCCGACGACTGATCTATGTTGCTCTGCATCGCAGCATCCAAAGGATTTGTGCTCTGAAATGGCCTCTCGTTTCCCACTCGAGGTGATTTCAGCCCGCCAAGTGAGGTGACCTGAAGCAAAATGCATGAGGCTTTCAAAAACTGTGGGAGGAGAGGAGAGGAGAGGAGAGGAGAGGAGAGGAGAGGTGAAGAATAACAAGGAAAGTGATGTGGATTGGAAAAAATTAGTAATCCATTTCCTTTATCCATTTTTGATTCCTTCTGTATAAGAAAAAAGTCATACTAAAGGAATAGTTCTACATTTCTGGATAAAAAACTCTTGGTTGAGGCTGAAATGGAACGTTTTTTTTTGTATCAGTCTCATGTCGGTCCATCAACGATTACATGTCCCTTAACAAAATACACGTAATTGCACCTGTTTAGGTCACTGGTTGTGATTTTAGAAAATAACAGAACAAGGTGAGATGTGTTCACCTATTTCCAGTCTATATGCTATAGGCAAAGCTAAGCTAAGCTAACCGTATGCTAGCTTTAGCGTCATATTTATTAAACAATCATGAGGGTTTTATCAATCTTTTCATCAAATTCTGAGCAAGAAAGTAAATAAGCATATTTCAAGAAAAGTTGAAGTGTTTTCTTAAGTTTACTAAAGGTTACCTGTTAACGAATCAAGGGTCCCTAACACCAGTTGCATAGAATCATTATTTCTAATGAGAACAGTTTATTTGTCACAATTCAGATTTTTTTCTAATTCTAGATCTTGTTGGATTACCATTTTCGGTTTTATGGCACTTCAAATACTTTAGTGCCAACATGTTAAAAAGGACAATTATGTGAGTTACACTTGTTGACACAAACTAGTTATCTAAAGACAGATTGTATCCCACAGACTCTGCAATAGGTACAGGTGTACAGGGAAATGTATTCACTTTTGAAATTGTTTAACTTGATAGCAGTGGCATTGCATTTTTCTCTCACACTCAGAGGAACGCTGCCGGGAAGATAAACAAGCACAATGGACTGCAGCATAACACGGTGGAGGATTGTGAGCGCCGAGCGATGGATGGATGCAAGTGAGGAGAAATGCAAAACAAAACAAAAGGCTCGAAATGTGTGAGTAACCGGGAAATTGAGGTGATGCGATGTGGAAAATAAGTCAAGAGGAGGTGATGGAAAGAGTAAAGATGCACTTTTGTGATTCAGCGGGAGGTGTGTTAAGACTGACGTATTGACACATTCATGCTTACACACACACACACACTCAAAAGAGCACATCTTTTATAAAAAGCTATCTCTTTTTACTCCCCGCTGTCACTCTCTTTGCTTTATCTCCCTCGAGGATGCAGCACTCATTTCTGTTTACCACACACACACACACACACACACACACACACACACACACACACACACACACACACACACACACACACACACACACACAGCACACACACACACACACTACACACACACACACACACACACACACACACACACACACACACACACACACACACACACACACACACACACACACACCACACACACACACACACACACACACACACACACACACACACACACACACACACACACACACACACACACACACAGTACTAGACAAACAAACAAACTGCAATTTCCTAACCACTTTGCCGAGAGCTTGCTATAAACAAAAACAGGCAAATGTATTCTCCGGCTAAGAGGCATCAATAATGTTTAATCTGCTTGGCAGTTTCTTGCAAGGTTCCACCTGGATAAGCACCATTTGGGTAACATTAAGCTGCTTATGTTGCAAATAGAAAGACAGTGCCACAAATGAAAGCAAACAAGCTCCACGATCACAATGGCATTCATATCCTCTATCCCCCTTTCACTCTTTCTGTCCACTTTATTTGGACAAATGTTCGTCGTTGTTCCTTCGCTGGTGTTGCAATTTGCACAACTAAATCAAATGAAATCAATTGGAGATCCCCTTTCGAAAGCCTTTATTATATTATAAAGGAGGCCAGGTGATAAAAAACCAAACTCCTTCTCTGCGGTAATGAATGTAAACTAGCGAGGGCCACAATGCCAGTGCTATATCAAATCTGCATTTAGATGGAAATGTTATCACAAGCTTAACCCCACAGAGGCTGTCTTTTGTTTGGATATCTATCTGTGTTTCATATTGCTTTGTGTCACCCTTTTCTAAAACAGAGATCACCAGGGTGTTGGGTGATTAAAAAGGGGAGGAAATGCTGGAGCTAAACGTCAGTACAAAAGAACAGTGCTAAGAGAAAAAGCGAATATGTGCTCCTTGGATAGTGAAGTCTAAGCCAGACTTATGGGTCCTTTTGTAAATGTTAACAAGCTATCTTTTATTGACCTTGTGCTGTGTCTGTGTCCGGCTGTGTGAGTGTTGAGAAGGGCAGGCTATGAGAGGACACACTTTCAACTCCTGCTATATCCAGTGTCTTTCACATAGAGCCTCGTATCGTCTCTTTTTGTTCTGCTGGTTCACACAGTGGCATCTCCGTGATCATCACGGTTGGCCCATCTGTCTTTGCTTTAAAGGGGCTCTCAAATGATTAAACACAGTCGGAAAGCCTCTGTGGCTGGCACAGAGCTGCACACAGGCACAGGGTGGGCGGTAATGGCATTTTCACTGTAATGGAACACAATTGCAAACATCTTTCCTTGTTCTCTCCCTCGTTTTCATATTCTGTCGCCCTCTTTCCCTTCCCCAGGTGCCCGCGATGGGTTATTCTAATGATAAAGGCCTCTTATTGGTCAATTTGCCCTCATCAGAGCTGTCAAACTGCCAGTCAAGAGCTACCGGGACTGATGGAGTGCATCCTCTCCTGTCGTAGCCACTCCACTCCTGCTGCCTGCACGTCAGCTGATTATGTGTGTGTGTGTGTTTGTGTAGACGT